AGGACTTTTAGTTCATCAAACATTAACTCTGCTTGTATGTCTCCCTGTTAAACTAGATGCAGATACATGGTAATACTTAAATGAGAGCAAAATAATAAAAGCATTGAGATACGGTATTAAGTCCATGTTATGCTTTGCACAATAAATAGCTGACCTGACCTTATATTCATGAACTAAAGGTAAATCACAACTGCATAAATTCTTTGCTAAAATACATGTAATTTGGTTATTTATCTATTCCACATTTCTGACTAAATTCATTACTGTTTTCTCATTTAGAATGCAACAGGACTGAGTCTTCAAAGATGTTAAGAACTGTTTCGCCCTTAGAACTATGGCCCTATGGATCTGTTTACGGGAGACCCAACTAACAGCAGATTATAAAAAGGATGCTGGATGTCCATTTTAATCTCACAACCACTTCCAGTACTTTTTGAGTTACTTCTTTTACTCTTTCGTTTGGAAAAAACAACAAAAACTGCAGCTTAACATTACCAATGCAACTTTTAGACTGGAACTTGGTTTAAACCTTTGTTTCATATTCGATTCTTAATGAAAGTTCTCGAATAAATTTTTGAACCTAATGCTACTTTGTTTTATCTACTTAATCGTTGCAAGAAACTTGTGATAATCGAGCCTCTCATCACCTAATTCATGTGTTCAGGTTTCCGTGTCTAGAAGCATGGGATCACCAAAACCTCCAAGCAGGAACCTAGGTATGTTAACAATAAAAGATCCAGTCGCCTCCCAAATGACTCCTGGGAAGTCGCTTGGACTAGTTCGGGGGGCAGCGAATTCCAGCATTCGACAACTCTTAAGGAGTAGAAGTTGTGTCTACAATCCATTCTGCTATGTCATGTCTCTAGTTTCTGGGACTAAGCTCAAATAGGTGTTTAAGAGAATGTCCAGAAGTGTTAAAAATCCTGTAAGTAAATAGGTCACCTCTAAGACGTCTATACTTTAATGAGTAGAGGTTAAGTGATTGGAGGCGCTCTTCATAAGGTGATTTGGTGCATATCTCCGTCACTTTCTCGGGAAACCTACAGGCTCGGGTCCTCTCACAACTTATTCTAGCCACCATGAGTTGCCACGAAAACTGATGGATGGACACGCGTTACACATCCTAACCGTCCCTGCGTCTAGTCTCATAGCTTCTTATTCAAATGTCATATGATAAGCAAGTAATGCTTCTACCGATACTAATGGAACACGAGTAATTCAGAGGCACCCTGTATGGTACTTTACATTGGTCTACGCACTCACTTAGTTCTTTAGTGAGAATATTACTACAGTCCTGCTAAAAAACCCACGAACCCCACCACCACCATCATAACAATAAGTCTGTATTTGCTGCATATAGCAATTTTATTTTTCAGAAGATATAACAGTAAGAATTGGAGTAAAATAACAATATACAACAGATGCACGTGGTACATGTCTTCATCGATCATCTGAAATAGAGAATACGGATATTAGCTTAACATGCTTATTTAGAAAGACTAGTGTTTACTTTGAACTTACTGTGTGAGAAAGTTATACTGGAACTGTGAATAATGTAGGAATCTAGTCTCCCAGGGCGTACGAAGCACTCAAACTGGAAGACAGTTGTCCCAAAATAATTCGAATATGAAGGTGAGAATTTGCAGGTACTTTTCATCGTAAGGGTGAACATATTCGATAACGGTTGACATGACACCGTAAAAATAACAAATTTGCGAGTGGTGAATTATGGTCTATAAAAAGCTGAGCTTAATAACAGTTAGTTACCTTTTTACTCCCTGATCATGACCCTTCGGCTTCCTTATATGGCCGAAACAGCAAACATACACTACACACTGATAGCAGATTTCCTGCTCTTCAATGTTAAGCTTGCTTTAACGCACCACGTAATGCGTACAACCCCTCCATTACTGCTATGTTGCATATTTTTTCATAATAAACCCTCTGCAATAGATTGGTAGCATCAGTGAATTTGTCTATGGTTGTCGGAAGCCTGAGTACTTTCGAAAACAATACTGACATCCCCTACGGCTAGACACTAAGTATTAGTTTGACTCATTGGTGGGATATTGTTGTCCGCAATACTGAAGAAAATTAAAAACCGGAAATTGTTTCCTTTCATTTTGCCGATAACATCATAGAGGACAGTTAGGAATGAACATGCGGACAGTCAGTCACAGGACGCAGCAACAGTTATTTCAGCTAAAAAACGAACTTTCGCTTTTGATATCTTGAAAACAAGTCGAAACTAAACCGATTTTCATTTTAAAACATAAGACTAACCAGCTTGACTGAAGAAATACATTGACTAGAGTAGAAGCAGCAAAAACCCAAAAAACAATGCTGATTCGAAGTAAATTTCACACCAACATGTAGAACCCTACACTAACTGCGGCATTTTAGTACATTGAAACATTAATTACACAGCTACACAAAAGAAATAGCTAAAAGAAGCACAGAACGAAGAAAGCCGGCCGCCATTACGCACAACGATGGCGGATATAATAATTCCCGCCACATTCTGATTGGTTGCTAAGCTGAAAGGCACATTTACGAAATTGAGTTGCGTTTAATTGCAGCCCAAAAGATTCACTTGGGTGGTGAGCAACAAATGCGTCAAACTGCTAATAAATTGGAATAAAAACTACGTAACAATTACAAACATTACGAAACTTCACGTGTGATGGAAAAAAGGCTGTTTATAGATGATAAATAACGACCCAAAAAATCCATGACAATCTGTAACATGTGCGCGAAAACCCCTGGCTTACCCCAGTGCCCGTCTACAGTCACACGCAACTGGATTTCGTAAACGTGGCAGTCTGTTTAGTGACCAGTCAGAATGAAGCAGCAATCACTATACCCGCCATCTTTGTAAGCGATGGCGCCCGGCTTTCTTAGTTTTGCGCTTTTTCCGTTATTTCTTTTGTTTACCTACATAATTTAATGTTTCCGTGTGCTTAAATGCAGAAATTAATGTAATATCGCAAATGTTGTAGCAAATATTTTCTGCTTTATCTTTGTTTTCTATGTTTTTGCTGCTGCTACTGGAGTCAGTGTATTTCCTCAGGGAAGCTCGCTAGTCTCATGTGCTAAAATGATAATTGGCTTTGTTTTGACTTGGTTATTGGATATTCAAACCTAAGTTAGTTGTTTTAGCTAAAAATAATTGTTGCTGCCACCTGTGACTAACTGTCTGCATGTTCGTTCCCAACTGTCCATTTTGATGTTGTCGGCGAAGCAAAGAAAACGATCATCGGTTTTTAATTTTCTTAAGTATTATGGACAACACTATACCATCAACGAGTCAAACTAATACTTAGTGCTCAGCAGTAGGGAATATCAGTATTATTTTCGAAAGGACCCAGACTTCGGACATAGACGAAGTAATAGATGCTACCAATCTATTAAACTAATATCCGAATTTTCTATTTCAGTTAATCTATGAAGAAATTGTTTAACGACAGTGATCTTGAAATACGGTCAGAACTTGATGTACAGTCTACAAATAAACATCAAACATACCTATCGCTATCTTATAAGGTATAACAGCAACAGTATCAAAGGCCCTTTTTTCCGGTTTTTAATGAGACTGATTTGAATTAGTATATTCGTTAAAAAAACAGGCAGCTTTACTTAATAAACTGATCGGTTTCGTTACAGGCTTCAAGCACTATACTTAGGTATAATATCATTCTATAGACTAAACTGAATTAGACGACAACCAAGAATAGTAAACTAAGCAAGTGTCATAATTATTGTCTCATTTGCACAGACATGTTACTCAAAGTAGTTAAATGCACATAATTCAGCCGATAAACCCACAAAATGAACTATGGGCCAGTTAAACTTACCTAACAGAAGACAAATGATATTGTTTTGAGACCAAGGACAACAGTCAGTTGTTCATAAAAATATAGTTTGCAGAACAACAAACATTTCTTCAGTAACAATACACACTGATGGTCTATTCGGAAACAGTCAACGATGTGAGTAAACTTACGATGACTCGGGATATAATACAAGCATGCAATGAACGTACAGTGTGACGCAGTCAGACGTGGCGAATAAAAATTACAACCACAGCAAAATTCACGGCATAATCAACATATTTATTAAAGAATACGTTATGAAATGACAAATTACATCAGTACATGAACCCAGACATGACCGTTATTGCAATGGGCAATACAGTAGGCTTACATGGAAACTTGCGGATAAATCCACCACATTTTTCAGTACACGTAACCGAAGTATCATCACTAGGAACTTCGACATTAAAATATCGTGTAAATTTGTGTTTAAAGTGCAAGTGAACACATTATTGTTCTGCCCATGTTATTCCCGTTATTTCAGATGATTTCGGTTCACATTGTTTGACGAAAATTTTATTTATGTTGGGTAATTTTTTGAGTGTTCAACAATACAAAATAATCACTAAATTAGGACGACAAATCATCTGCTGCAAATACTCAACTCCTCAGGGCTTTTCGTTAATACATCATTCCATACTTTGGTATGCTAGGTGTCATGCCATGTCCCACGGATCCACTCATAGCAAGGTTATTAAGTAGATCAGTGTACAAAGTGTGTATGAGGGGGTTTGTATGATCCGATGGAGTGAGCGTCTTTATGGCGCATATAATTATAAAATAATTTTAAAATACCTAGGATTTACCATAATCGTACTTTATCCCTTGCTACTGCTTCCTCATAATACTGAGTATTATGTAATAAACCTTTACTTACTAGTTGGATGCCGACACAGATTTTAGAAGGTTAGAAGTACAGACATATGTCTTTGCACTACAGACATTCTTCTCCAATATCCGGAATATTGTTGTATGGCTCAATAGGATTACACAATTCAGAGATAATTTAACATAATTCGAAACAGCATTTCATGCAATATTGATCTCTTACTTTTTTAATACACAGATTATTTATATTTCGGCAGATTGAGCTTTAGACAACTGTCTGTTTAGATACGTCAATTTTACGTTCAGGTGCCTAAAATGTACTTTTAAGGCGCTACTTACGGTTATGTGACTGAAATATGGGTGAAAGGACGGACGACAGTGATGTAGTGGTCACAATAGGAGTTTGTGCAATGGCAAAGAAAGCGATGTCAAAACCAATGAAGGAAATTTTGAGAAGAATGGACAAGTTCCAGCACATTAAGATAATAATATTTGACGAGAAAATGATATTAGATTCACCAATAGAATCATGGCCCATCTGTGATGCACTGGTCAGTTTTTATTCTGAAGGATTTCCTCTCAAAAAAGCTATTGCTTATTCGAAACTCCGGAAGCCTTACCTTGTCAATGATCTTGAGTCCCAATACATTTTAATGGATAGAAGAAGGGTTTATGAGTGCTTGACGAGAGAAGGTGTTCCAGTTCCGAGATACGCATTTGTTGATAGGACATCAGAAAACCCAGTGAAAGTTGTTGAGCTTGACGATTCAATTGAGGTTAGTGATTTCCTCTAAAGACCCAAAGTATATTTTATTAGCTGACTTTTCCGTTAGGCTTTATTTTTAGGTATACAGTATTGAGTAGCACTTAATATTGTAGTGCGGGTAAGACTATGTGTTCTGGAATAATAGAGTTACAGTTAATAGATAGATTTGTACATTGAGATAAACCTCAGCACTTCCAATTGTAAACCTAAGAAAATTCTACGGGACTATTATTTATGGACGAACTAGTCAAATTTAAGTTAGCATGTCTTGAATTTTGGCCCGAAATTTATTCAACCATTTAGTTAAATATCATTTCTGCACCATAGCTTATTATCGGTTTGCGTTGTTGAGCATTCTTAGGTCACTTGAGCGTTACTCAAAGGTCCTTCATAAATCATAGTCCCACAGGAAATTCGACTGGCGTGTAACTATGTTTTTTATTTGTTACGACGTAGTAGATCATGTGTAAAGAAACAGGGTTAGCCGGGGTCTTAGAATCAGATTTTTATGCTTTCTGACTGTTTCTATTAAACCAATCCATAGCTTTTAATTAATCAATCCTACCTCAAATACATCAACACGCACCACCTTAAACTGGAGATTAACGTCTTGCCACTTTATTTTGCATGTTATGTATTATCAAGTTGGCTTTAGAATTTTCATGATTAGAATGTTGTTTTCAGGCTGTTAAAGGTTTTTCCAACCCTTCCTAACATATCTGAGAAGAAATTCAAACTCATGGAACTTCAGCTTGAATAAAATTATGAATATAATTAAAATATTAACGTAAAATCTCGATCAGTCATATGTATATTCACAAACGTAATTTCTCTGTACGTGTGTAACTTTCGTGAGCAGAACGAACATTGATTGGATGTGGTCAACCAATTTTATTGTTGGAGGCTAGTTTCGCTTCATGCTTACACCTAATAACCTGACATATAGATCTAGTTAGCCAGGTTTTCATAACCTGAGGAAATCAGAAAGGTAACGCTTAAAAGTCCTGGTGGGATTGATTAGTTGTACTTGAAAAAAATGTTTTGGATGAGGTTTTATAAAATTGTCGCATATATATATAGTTTAGCTTAGTGTGAAGTAACTGGATGAAAAGAACCACCTCATAAATTTGCTTGTAAAATATTAGGAAATAATATGAATATATTCATCGTGTTCACTTTTTGTTCTGTCTACTATATTAACAAAACATCTTTTATTTTTTGTTAAGTGTTTTTGATTACTCTGGTATTCCTCTATTAGATTTTTAGTAGATAGTTACTAAATATTTTATGTGGGCTGTCAGCAGGACGAAATTTTATGACATTTAGAAGTTTTAGTTGATCTTGTCAAGTTTTTTTGTCATTCAAAAACCTAATTTATGTAAAAATGTTGAGTAAGTTGATACAATTAAAACAATATAAAGTAATAGCCTAGTTCCACTACTTGGACTGTGGCAATTTTATAAGTCAGTATTTTTGTACAAACAATTGTCTACCGTCCTTAAATTTATCTTTGCCAGATTATTATCACGCTAATAAGTTTTTCTAGCCTAGATTTGTCTTCAATTTTTCGAGGTACTTCTTGAATAAAGTATAAATTTTTATTTCAGATTAATGGTGAGGTTTTTCACAAACCATTCGTAGAAAAACCTTTGCATGCTGAAGATCATAATATCTACATCTACTTCCCTAGTAGTGCTGGAGGAGGCAGTCAGCGTCTCTTTCGAAAAGTTGGAAATCGCAGCAGCAAGTACTTTCCACACAGTAATATTCGAACAAATGGATCTTATATGTATGAGGAATTTATGCCAACGGATGGTACAGATGTAAAGGTACGATGAACTTTATGTATGATGCGGGGTATTTTGTATCTAGACCATCAGTTTGTGTGTCTAATGGAGATAATTTAAACGCCATGAAGTTAGACATTAAAACCGTTGGATGCCGGCTCAACGGTCTAGTTGGTTAAGCACCTGGCGCGAGACTAACGAGTCCTGAGTTCGAATCTTGGCGGGGTCGTGGATGCGCACTGCTGAGGAGTCCCACAATAGGATGGAACGGCCGTCTAGTGTTTCCAGGTTTTCCATGGTGGTCTAGCTTCAATTGACTCATGATCTCAACTGTTGAAGCTTTGGATTCCTTGAATTTTCAGACCCTATGCTAGTCTGAGAGTTGAAACCAAACTTTAAGGTTTACGGTAACGTTATATGATAACTTGCAGTTGCCTTGGTAGTACAAATGAGGAAACTGATTGATTTTTTCCCCATTCTGACTATTACTCCAAGTCACTGGGTCTAATCATGATTTTCAATTATTTTCCTTAATTGAAGAGTCTTTTTCCGTGTACGTTCATAACATTTATTTTCAATTTACCGACATCGTTACTGTGATTTCTTGTGAAACCTTACCCAGTTAACTTGAAGCCTCATTCTAAGTTTTTATTTTAAAGAAGCTACAGAGTGTCTCATTTCTTAATTTCTAAGTATATGTATTTAACAGTTTAATTATTTGACTTTTCTGGTCTCTTATAGCCAATGAAAATTAGAAAGCTTTTATTATTCAAGCCTAATCATTTGTGCTATGAATGGTGCTTTTGGTACTAAAATCAGGACAGTCGACTAGGAATAACCTTATATGTTATAAGCAGCATTTTAGTCTTCCGCTGCTTTTATGTTAAATTCCATCATGTAAAATTATATAGATTCTAAAGTTCGTTCGTATTTTTAGTCACTAGATCCGAAATTTAGTTATTTTAGATGTGGTGCTAATATAATTGTTATATCATACAAAGAAATTTTAAAGCTAACTCCATGATAACGTTTTCATTATAACCCACTTAGGTTTACACGGTCGCAGATGATTATGCTCATGCAGAGGCTCGAAAATCTCCTGCCTTAGATGGGAAGGTAGAACGAGATCACGAAGGTAAAGAAGTTCGCTATCCTGTCATACTAACACCTAGAGAGAAAATCATTGCCAAGAAAGTAGCGAAAGCTGTTCGGCAGCAAATCTGTGGATTCGATCTTCTTCGGGCTAATGGAATGTCTTATGTTTGTGACGTAAATGGATTTTCTTTTGTAAAGTCTTCCAAAAAGTACTATGATGACTGTAGTCACATTCTTGGTGTGTTAATTACTCGAAAAATAGCACCACGATTGTGTTTGCCGACAAACTTGCCTCCAGGTACGGATGTAGATACTCCGCTGGTACCAACAACTTGTGGAGCAATTATGGAACTTCGTTGTGTAATCGCTGTCATTCGTCATGGTGACAGGACGCCAAAACAGAAAATGAAAATGGAAGTTTGCCACCAGAAATTTTTCTCATTTTTCACTAAGTACGCAGGTGGTTGGGCTCGTGAATTAAAAATCAAACGTCCTACCCAGTTGCAAGAAATTTTAGATATTGTGCGGTCCATTTTGGAAGAAATTGATTCTGGCCAGTGTACTGATAATTGTCTTCTTCGAATAAAGCCAAAGTTTGAGCAACTAAAGTGAGTTCATATTTTCTGAAAGAAGCACATTACTTTTGTCGACAAACGTTCCCCAAGATATTATTGTACTACGACATACTATGTCGTAGTACAAGTATGAATATTTTTACATATTTTAGGGTACAATAATTTATGTCAAAACCTTGTATAAATTTAGCATAGGATACAATGTTTTAACAATATGAATGCTTTTGGTGTTTTCGGATTGTCTTTTGCGGGGGAAACTACGACGCATAATTTGTCTTATTTGGAACTCATAGGCTGTATGTACCTCCATTCGTGTTGTTGTTGACACTGAAGCTCGAGTCTAGTACCTATGCCAACGAGTTACTGACTAAACTGGTGAGTCCATATAGCTCCCAAATTATGAATTACTGTTAATAATATAAACAATGGGAATGTATCGACTCTCACAACAAGATTTTATTAATACTATTTTTATCACTTATCGAAATCTACTGTCTCTTTAGGATAAGTTTTTTTTAATGAATATCTTAAATACTTATTAAACTGGTTTAATATCCCGATCATTCTTTCATAATCAGTCGTATTAGGCTACTTTAACTGATCATCGAGAAAATCGTAATGTGTATACATCAGACTTGCCCAGCTTTCAATAAATCACTTCACCTGTAGATCGGTAAACTTTGAAATTCTCAATAAATATCGAGCTGTTTTTTAAACCATTTATTCCATTTCACTACACGAATATAGAAAGTTGCCGTGTATGATGATAGAGATAGGCAGATCTGAAGAATTTAAAGATTTTTTTGAAACGCTATGAAGATATGATCAAACTACAGTTATATGATTTCAAGCTAAAAGTACTGGCTAGGGATAATAAATAAGTCAACATGGTTGTAACTATTTATTGACTGTAGTGCTTGAGTTGAATAGTCTTCAGAATGACCAAACCCATGAATTTACTAACTCTTGGTTTTGTTCCAGGAAATAATTGTGTTCGGTGGTCAAATATATTTAAGTCACAAATTAATTGTTCTTCATAAAACGAAATAGAATCATGTCATGAAATTTTTAGACGAACAGTATATTTCTAGATCTTGTGGAAGTGATTGTATGTAATGGTTACTATTGCCTATAAAAAGGATTCTCACTTGGTTAGTGAAAAGTAGATAGTTTAATTTATCACTAAATTTTAGTCACTACTTCTCGCTTATCATAAGTATTAAGTGATTTTTGATTTCATATTTTCTGTTACTTTATTACTAGATATGTCTTAGAAATGTATGGGTCATTTAGTGGAATTAACCGTAAAATTCAGTTAAAATATCAACCACACGGAATTGGTAAAGAATCAAAGATTGGTTATTCAAGTGAGCTTTTGTGTTGGTTTTCTTGAATACTGGTTCATTAAAATGTGAACTTTTTCGCAATCGTGTTTATGCACTGCATATTTTCAAATTAGTCTGTATTGGTGTTTATTGAGTTAAAACATCCAAGTTTCAGCTTTTTTGTATGCATTTAAAGCTTACGTGACACGTACTAGTTTCAGCAACCGTTAATATCTCTAAATTTGGCGAAACTAGTACATCTCGATATTGCTACATAGTCACAATTTTTTTAGTAAGGTTTGATAGTCAGCTTCAACAATAGGATTTAAGTAGATCCAGCTAGTGAGTCAAAAGTATGACGTAACGTGCATTATTGATCGCGTTACTAGCCACTACTCATTTTTAAAAAATATCGGTATTCGCGTTCAACGAAACTAAGCAGCTCTGTTCAAAATATTTCACAAAAAACTGTTATTCATGATATTCAGCACTCTATTCTCATTTTTTCTTTCTATCGCAAATGAAACTTTATCAATATTTTTTATTTATGAAGTGTTCATGCCTTTTCCATGTGATAGTCTTAAACCTGTTAGCGATTTAAAGTATCAGTTTTGGTTAGACAGTCAACATAAAACATATCCAAATTAAGATGTCACACTAGGACAGCGAGATGAAATTATCGAGATGAATACCAAAATACTGATAGTAAAATCAATTATAGTAGAATTGACTGACTAGAGATAGGGTGATCCGGAAAGAAGAATTTGATTCACTGAGTAAGACGTAATAATTAATTTTCAATCTCAAAATTTGAAGAACGAATGCATCCCCACCATTGTGATCAATTCCGAGCAAGTGTTTTCCAGTATCTTTAATCATCAATCATGGTAATCCCAAAGGCTTTGTCTTGCTTTATCCAATTCTAGTTTTTCCAGTTTATTCATACTCGGGGAAATCTTGTGCGTCGAGGAAAGCGATGTTTGGTTTAATTTAGATGGTTTTCCGTGATTTGATGAGATGAAATTCTGGATTGTTAAAATCAGTAGACGGAATGCTAATCAATTGATGAACTTAATGATATAATGTGGCCTGGTGATGGTCACCTTATTTATTTTAATACACAGATATTGGTACAAGGAGGCACCAAATACATATGCGCCACACAAATCTCATTCAATATGTGTGAGGGCTGTGATTCTGTCCGGGTGCCCAGACCGAAACAGGTGGTTTTCTTAGGGGGCCACACCTCAAGCCTTCGACCTGAAGGTCTGATCCACAAGGCAGTGGAGCATCGTAAGGAGATGCAGTCCCATGGAAGCCGGTGACCAACAGTTGGTTCATACGCCATTTGTCCCCGCAGGATACTGGAGCCCATGTGCACCATCAGTTTGGAATCCGGTTAAAGCGCCGGACATTCGCTTTTCGTTCTCTCATTTTCGTAAACAACACCCCCGCCACGAGAAGACAGTGAGTAGGACTTCCCTGGCAAAGGCTATATACACGTGGGCATGTGAGAGCATTTCGAGAGGGAGAGCGGACTCTCCCCACTCTTGGCCGTACCAGAGCATTCGGGGGCAATGGTTACCTTCGAGACCGTAGTATTGAATTAACCCACCAAGTGATCGGAAATCCAATGCAAGACCAATAACCAGATGAATAGTTTTTCATGCAATAAAACGACTTACATACTGAATATGAACACAAAACAAACATGGCAAAACGTCATAGGGGGTTGGACGGAATAAACCTATTGGTCAATTATTCTTCAATCAATATATACCTGACTGTTATGCTTAATGTTTGGGCATTGTATCAGCTGAGCTACATATATCCCAACCACTTCAGTTGGATATCCGCAACCTCATAAACTGGTTTTCCTAACCTCAACATTTCTCACTTTGTCGTTCCACGATTAGCAACCAATGTTTGAAAAACGCCCTTTTCTACCAAATTATCTGGGCTAGGTTACATTTTCTTCAGACACAATATGTGGAGAACGACGATCGTCATAGTTAACACTAGTGTAATAAAAAAATTTTAGAACTGTTGATCGAGACTATATATATATTACTTTCGTGATGCGATAACACGACCCGCTTGAACGGTTGGTAACCACAATTTGGATTTAATTTGTTGCCTGGTATTTAAATTTTTTTGAATTTAGAATTACTATCTTTGTCTTATTCATACATCGTTTCTTTTCTTATCTATTTAACTAATTAACTAATTTAGGCATAAGGTCTAGAGATCGATACAAATAACTAACCTTTTCTTCTGCGCAATACAATGAGTATACTAAAATGACCACTTTTGGTTTTCTGTAAATTTCTGTGTTGGCTTTAAATGTTTTAGAGATTCATCTAGTTATTTATATAAGCTAAATATCTTTTCAGTGAGTAATATAGTTAGGGTTATGTCATTGTGCATAAATGGTTTTGGTGGATTGGACTTTACATATATTTGGTTTAAAAGAAGTCCATTACTGATGTAATTAGTTTTTGACAGTATTTCAATAGAACTCATGAATGTGAGTCAAAGTACTCATATCTACCGTGTCTGTTAATAGTGGGTTATTGAGAAAAGTAACTATGTTTACTGTTGAGAAACAAGATCATATCGTGGTGACCATTATGTAGTACATGAAATCATTTTCATTGCCATGTAAATGAACAACCACATATATTGATCATTTGTCAGAAGTAAAACAAATTTCCAAAATCCTTGGATTTTGAATGGTCTTTTTTCAGGTAGTATTCCAATATCTTGTGACTGTACTGACGAATGTGACAACACCCAACGTTGCCTATTAGTTGTCGTGAAATGGGGTGGAGAATTAACAGCCGCAGGCAAGCAACAAGCAGAAACTCTAGGAAAAGCTTTTCGTTGTATTTACCCAGGTGGAGATGGCCATTATGGTAAAGATCCTGGTCTTGGATTATTACGTTTACACAGTACTTATCGTCATGATTTGAAGATATATGCTTCTGATGAGGGTCGGGTTCAAATGACAGCTGCAGCTTTCGCTAAAGGTTTCTTGGCACTAGAAGGAGAATTACCACCAATCCTTGTTCAGATGGTCAAGTCAGCTAATACGAACGGTCTTTTAGATAATGATAACGATTGTCGTCACTACCAGCAGATGGTTAAACGTCGAATCAATGAAGTTATGTCCAAAAACAGCGATTTCACCGCTGGAGATATTGCTACTCTTGTTCCTACCGGCGCACGTTCTATAATTAATGCTATGCAGTATGTTAAAAGCCCGTATAGAGCATGTGGTCGCCTGTTTGAACATGTTCGTCTGTTATCTAATCGTCTTGCTTGGCTCTCACGAAGTTCCAAAGAACGCAGTCGAATACACTTGTATCAAGGTGAAAGTTGGGACTTATTGCTCAGACGTTGGGGAAAGCTATTAAAAGATTTTCGATCTCCTGAAGGAGAATATGATCTTTCTAAAATTTCAGATATATATGACAACATAAAATATGACTTGCAACATAATTCTGGCATTTTACTGGAATCTGAGGTGCAAGATTTCTTCATGTGTGCAAAGTCGCTAGCTGACATTATTGTCCCACAGGTAATTTGACACGCTTATAGCGATTATAATGATAAAACTAGTGTAATTTAAGTTCAAGTTTATATTATGTAGCGGCGATAATTTGATTACAAATTACTTTAAATTTCCTCCCAGCTTTTACAGACTTGTATTTAATTTTGTATATATGAAAGAAGAAATGATAGTAGCGAAACGTAACATCAAAAAGAAATCGTATTTAGTAGGACCTCAGTAAAATAAATCAAGAACTGCAGTTATGTATTTACTGTTGATCCATGGATGTTTCTCCTTTTACGTTTTGCTGAATAACTGTACTAACTTATGTTTGATAAAATATTAAAACTCATCTACCGATGCTTGTTGGGAAAAAGATATTTTTCGTAATATTTCAATAAAATGTATCGTTTAGTTGACATTCGAATTTGTAAATATAATTTGTTTCGGGATATCATTCTCAGTCAAAAACCATTGTCACTTAATCCCTAGGTGTGAGACTGCGAACAGAATAAAGTTAATGCTTTTTACTGCACTAAACTACAATTCTCACTTTGATAGCAATTTCTTCAAATCTTCTTATAAAGAATAAAGCAAGTACAAACAACGCATCTCTAATTGCTCATTCACTGCTGTGATTGATGAAATTTGTCAATAACCATAATCATTTGCATTAAACAGTTTTAATATTATGTTTTTTGACTGTTATTAGTTGAACCATGCGGAAACATCAGTGTTTCATATTGATTTCATTCCTTTCTTTGTTTTTCTAGAAATGTAATCTCTAAATGAACCATAGGCTATAATATGTCACTTTGTCTAAACAGAAAAGCATCAAGAATAAGCGCGTTTGCTTAGGTTGTTCCAGTTCTTGATAAGGCAAAAAATACTGTTAGCAATAAATAGAACTTTTGATAAACTGAAAATTAAAAAGACCATGAGCAGATAAGGAAATAATGTTCACTCGTCAATTTGATCACGCATATGATATGTTCTGATGACTTATATTCAGTTACAGATGTTTTTATATGGTCTACCATCAGTGACTTAATCCCATAATTTTTGAGTATCATAGAGCGGACTGTTGCACAGTGTATTCGTCCACAATCGAGGTTTATATGTCGTCTTAGTAGAATAAATGAAAAAGGTTTATTTTCGTTGTTAGGAATAGTTTATCGTGTTTCGTATGAAAGCGGACTTCATACCAATTCTTTGAAATTTGAAATTTTTGACCAAACTAATATGAATTAATTGTGTTTTATGACTATCACTGTTATTTTCTTAATTACATAGTCATTCTGATGAGACTGTTGTGATAAGTACTCTTCATGTTACCTTATTCAATGCCATTTTTGTGTTTGTCTTCTACCGTTTGTCACATACCAGAAAAAATGTTTATACTTTCTGCTTTCCTTATCCTTAGGAATATGGTATAACAAAAGAAGAAAAACTAGTGATAGGTCAACGTATTTGTACTCCACTTATGCGAAAAATTTTATCAGATGCTCGTTATACAGATGTAGATGAGTGTACACGGCTGCATGCTGGGTGAGTATTATTCTTCATTATCTATTGGTTTTTCGGTGCATTTAGTAACGTTGTAACGTCTTAATAATATCATATTTACACATTTTTATATCTTTAATATAATTTGAATTAAATGATGATTCTAAGGCTTGACCTTATTCTCACTTCTATAAATAATGATAGACTTTATGAGTGTCCTATATAATTATGTGAAGCTATGACGCGCTGATGCAAAATGTCAATGATAAACAGTTTTTGATTCTCTTCCACCTTAACAATAGATTTACTAGTTAGAAACTAATAATAGTTGTATTAAGAATAACGTATTTATAAAAACTCTAATGAGTGGAGAATTGAATTGCTGACATTTCGTAACTTCATGAGTGTCCCTTTTTTAATGAAGTAAATGAAATAAATTAACAAAAGTTTCGGTGATACAAAAAATATAAAACACACAAGTTTTAGTATAACCAAAATAGATCTGATCACGTTAATATCACGTTATTTCGAACAAAGGGATTCTGTATAAGACCTACTTATTTGTAGGTTAGTGTATGTGAAAAATATATTTCTAATGTAAAAGAGTAAAGAACATTTGCTCCTGATACGAGATACGAACAGAAATGATTATTTGGATATTTGAATAAATGGTTTATTTTGAATAAATCTTCAGGCCTTCCTGACTATGGAGCGCAGGAGGGTTTGACATTGCATGAGAAAATCCAGCTACGACTTTCTTTGCATTTGGAAAAAGCATTTTGAAATTTGTATTTTTACTTATGGTTGTTGTTATTAACAATATACCCAATGCTAAAATTATTTGAAATTATAATGTCAAATTATCAAGTGTTTTATCCTTTAATTTGATGTAACACTGATATACTTAACAAATACATTATGGGGCATTTTTATTTTATTATCTTAGACACTGTGCAAAGTTACTAACATAAAATTGGAATTAATTAAAGCTAATTGAATCCTAATTTTAAATCTACATAACTTAAGCATGGAGGAGAAATTAAATGAGTGACGCAAAATAAATGTGATTTAAAAACAGTTGTTAGTGTTCCGATAAGTGTTTACTTCCTTTTAAACTTAATAGTCCAAAATGTTTTTTAAGAAAATAAGTTCTGTAAGAAATGATCTTTTATGCCCATTTTATTAACTAATGAATACACCCAGAGACATATATATGTAAAAGAAGGTTGAATCAACGGTTTAGATATGCTAACACGAAAAATTGAATGTCCTTTAAATAAGTGTAGTAAGACATCACTATTTTCCAATTTCTTTCCTCCTCTAAATCATTTATTTTATCGGAGTGAACTTCTATAAATCTCTTTCTTGGTTATATCAGTTTTGTTTAGTTTCCGTTCATTATAATTAGAGTTGTATGGTCTATGAAAACTGTGTGATTGGAGAAAACTTTTTGTTTTGCTAATGAACTTATTTATTATTATTTAACATTCTAAGATATAGTTCCAAAGTATTTTGATTGCATTCATGGTGCACATTAGACTGCCTGTTAAATATACGATATTTATCGGGTATATATTGCTGGTACTATGGGCACATCGGAATGATGCATGTACTCAAAAATTCCAAATAGTTTAGTTTGGAAACTGTGTATGCTCTCTCAATTTTTATTACGCAAGACATTATTATTATTATTATTTTGTAACCTCAGTCTCTTCAATTGATAATTACTGGGTTGATATATATCCGGGTTTCATTTAAATACACAAACCGGAATGGGGGTCGCTTGTTTAAAAACTTCCTGTCACGTTTCACATAAGCATAAAGACCATTCTCATCAAAAAGGTATTACTAACAGTTATAATAATAATAATTTAAAGATTTCATGACATTTTGCAGGAATGGTTGTGTTGATATAATTAAGCTTCGATATGTTTATCTAGTTCTTTTCTATGGTTCTTTCTAAGAATATATTTTAGCCAGTGCTATATTTTCAATCAATAAATCTAGCAATAAGGAGTTGAAGTCAACTATTTGTTTACTTGAGTCGTCTGAAAAAGTTTTGTAGGTGAGCGATGTGAGCCTTGCATAATCAAGGGTTATGATGAGAGACGATTATGTAAGCTTTCCATTTTTGTTTATCCGTTTAAGAAAATCTTACATATACTAGATAATTTGTGTGTATTGAACTGTCGTTTTGCTTCTGCTACATAAGTAAACTTGGAATTGTGGGACTAATGTGGTTTAAATACAACATATTGATCCAGCGCATCGCTGTGAAGGAAATAGAAAAATCGAGAAACACAGGCAAAGGAGATATTATTTATGGTTTTTTTAAGGTGTATACATCTGCAAAAACTCTTGTCATTACTTTTGTTATTATAGTGTGATATTTAGCTAGTAAAATGTATGTTCTTTTGAAAATGTAGGGAGGTGACTATACTGACTCTTGATGATGAGATAGTTACATATATTAAGAGTTTTAACCCATTAAGAGTGTGATTAAGCAACTGAACAAATGAATGAAAGCTACTCGTCAATCTTGCTTCCAACGGTAGACTATTTTATGTCCGAACATACCCAATCGAAAAAAGTTCCCATCCTGTATTTTTCTATTTCAGTTGTAGATATTTTATATCCCGAGTCATGCGCAGGTGTGTTTATACAAGATCTGTTAGTTTTCAATTCAGTTTATGAGACAGAATTAGTTTTGTCGTAAACCATAGGAGTTTGAGTTTTAGGGTATCACACCTCGATTTACAGTCAGTTACTATGTCATTTTTATGTACTTTTCACGTGAAATATTATAGAACTCATTCTACTGTTAGCTTATCAGATAGACATGAATTAATGAAAATAGAAAAACCGGTATTCAAGGATAAACCTTACACAGATCTTGTACAAAAAGTCTAGAATTTTTCCCATAGGAATTTCACTAGATAAAACTTAGTAATCCCCGTGATTTCGATAATTTAGTAGATTTATGTTCGGAGACGTTTAGGCCAGAAAGGTAATTAAGTCCTAGGCCAGTTGAAAACAACAATTTTTTATTTAAGCAGATGTGATGTAAGATAAAGATCAATAACGGTTGAATTAGAAACTGATTATCATACAATTCTACCTTTAAAAAATTTTCCTGTTTGATTGAGCATTTACATTATAGCTTTTGCATAACAATCTGTCTAATGCGTATCTTCTCTATTGACAACTGTCAATACAGTATTCTTTAGATTTGTTTGGAAGTAACATGCTATTCATTTATGATCTGAGCTTAGTCAACCGCTCTTAATATTACTTTTCTTCATTAAGCAGCTTAAATGTTATATTTCCAAGTCTGGATTTGCAAACTACCTATTTTCAGTTTTATTCCTCATTATCCAGCTTAGTTGATAACCAGCGTACTAAGTGTCATATTTCAGAAAATATAAAGCATGCTTACTGACACATTTGATGGCATTGGAAATAAATCATTTTCGTGCTTTTACCAATTCCTGTACTTTACCGTATACTGTTGTAAGATATCATTAATTTATTGGTATATATGTTTTGTGATTATTTTTATTGTCCCTTACTATTTTCTGACAGGCTGCATCCTAAACAACTTTACGTTCCCATAAGTTTTGTTATTTTGTTGGTTATTACAAACCTTTTCTCTGTCATTACTATATCCCGCTATCTCAGTTATAGAGTACTATTTGTATACACTATTTCAGTTATATTTTTATCTTAGTAATTATGAAGTAGTATACCTTGACAATAAATAAATGTAGTCATTAAGTTGTAAAAATTTTCTTTTTCCTAAGTAACTTAGTGTTTTTCACAACAGTGTATGTGATTTTATGCTGTTGAAACCATTGTTGTTCGATGTGTAAGGGTTTGTCTGTAATTAATTGAGTCATTTTTATAAATAATATGCGTGTTGCATATCGTTTGTTTTAACTATCTTATTATCTGTAACAGCGTACTCAACATGCACCTTTCAGTAGTGCCATTCTGTTTAATTAATTCACCTCATGTTTGCTGTTGATGGCGCCACTAATAAATAATTGCAGATGTATCGCGTCTTCTGTCGTCTTTAATATTACTGAAACTTCACAAATCCGCTTGTTTACTGAAGTTATTTCAATTTTTTGAAATGTCAACCACTTATTGATAAGTTGGCATAGTTTTTTATTGATATGGTGTGATACGGATTTTTATAAACTATTTAATTTATTAGCTTTTGTCTTATATAATTGTTAATAGTATCTCCATTGGTATTTTATACACTTTGGTTCCAGGTAGACATTATGATGTTTTAATTTGTTTTAGCGAGTGAACTATTAAATATGAGCTCTTGTTAATGGTTTCTATACATACTATATATCCCCGAAACCTTTACTGTTTGATTTCAAGCAATCATGATTTTATGTGCAATGCTGTTTCCAAGTAGAGTTCCCTTCTTATCTGAGAACTGGAAATTTTAACCTCAATAGGATATTTTCCTAGTATTATTATTTTAGGCTTTACTATGTGGTGTTTAATTTCGCTTTCCATAAGTTGTTATATTTCTATACTACCTCATCTTGTTTAACCATGCCTTTAGAACTAATCATATTGCTAGTTGACTGTGGAGTTGTCAATATACATCTTGTACATGATTTGATCTAGGTGGTTTTATGGATCGATATCTAGTTTGTCAACAGTTATTATAGTTTACGAATTCAATTATGAGGATTCTAGTCATGAGGAAACCTGCCTACATCGGCTGTTTTGATACTCAGTCTCATTTCATACTTTTTCTTTGTTACTTTCGTGCTCCGAATTCATAAGTTTTGAGTGAAACTTATAACTAATCCGAATTCATTTACCAAGCTACAGCAGTTTAAGCTACCGGTTTTGAGTCACAATTTACATGTAAGGATCGGCTATAATCCCAGGCTCTCCAAAGCCGTGCGGTTTAATGGAAGCTCAAACATGCTACCCAAAAGTAAATGATTTCACCACATATCACTGCTCCATTTAATTCTCGAGTGATATATTTGCACTAGACGGTAAAGTATGAATGTTCGGTTATTAAAAACTGACTCAACAAATGAGTGTCATTTGTTTAACTTCCTATTTAATATTTCTTGGAATTCTAACTGACTAAAAACCGTAAATATTACACTTTCCCATCATATTAGTTACCCATATTCTAACTGGACTGGTTGTTTATTGTCTTTAATGATGGTTCAACACATTGTGAGACGGGTATGACTGGATAAACGTGACGTTTCCTTTATTCCCATGAATCTAAAACTCTTTTAATTATTAGAGCTTTTTATGTATTAATGCTTATCCATGTATACAGTTTTTGACTGAAAGCAACAATGTGTATGCTATCGTTGTATTTAACTTCTGGTGGGTCTCGGCATTCTGTTATTGGGTTTGATCAATACTGTACCCTGTGGACTGGTTAAAGTCACTAACAGATGTTCACCACAAACCCTAGGAAGACTAATGATAACTGCCACGATAAAGCTTGTGCTGTTGGGATCAATATGAACAATTTACCACTGGAATTTTCAGATTTCTGCTCCATCTTTTCAGATACATTAGTGTTTATCAATAGTAACTCTTTAAGTTGCCAATGACCGATTTTAGGCATTGACGATTGGTGGAGTTGAGGGTGCACACTCCTGACGACTCCCATTTTAAGAAGACCTGACTAATGACTCTTTGTCTTCAATGGTTGTTTAGCTGAATCCAGTTATGATTTGGAAATGCAAATCCAACACACTCTGACCACTCCTGTGCTACAAATTAGTTGATCAATTTCATAGGTTTTTTACAGACAGACTTTGATTAGCACTAGAACTTCATTGCCGTAACATCAGTTATCATAACGAAATGTATGCATGGTTGGCTATTTCGTTCCGAATCTCTTTTGTCACTCACTTCCACTTTTTTTTAAATTCTCATGCATCCTATCACCCCTTTTTTTGCTTTACTTCACCTATCTATTTCTAGCCATCGCCCAAATCACGGTGAACCTTGTCCCGATTGGTGGGTCTGATTATATAATCTCTTCATAACTTTTAAAAGATTTTTGTTTCGACCTTGTCGTGTTTATAATAGCATGTTTTAGCTTTTGCCACTTTTTTTTTAATTTGATTAACAATGGCCTATCGAGGCATTACTTAACTTAATCAAGTTAGCCTAATTATTCAACTGTGTTTTTATATTTGCACCAATTAAATGAAATATTTTGTATTTATTTACTGCACAAACACATATTTAGGTACATGTGTATGTATTGTTGTTTCTTATCTGTTGTATACATACGCATGCATATGTGTGAAAACCTTAATTGTTTCATCGTTTTTGGTTCCAATTTTTGATTGAAACAAGCTTCACGATATTATGTCGATGACATTTCCACTATGAGCTTTATTGATAAGTATAATATGTGTTACTTTAAGCTGCATGTTTGGTCGATATTGTACTTCAATTATTTCATATAAGCCATGTTTGCAAAATTATTAACTTTATCATATAGTGAATAAAAATTATAATATTCATTTTTTATACATTACGAATTAGTTTTCTTCAGTTTTAATTCTTAATAAGGTAGCAGTTATGACTCCTTAAGTACATCTAGTTTAAACAATCTGTTTAAATTTACTGATCGTATGATAAACATTAATAACTAATTAGTAATAAAATTGCTAAATAAATACATCAATAGGTTTAGATTTGGTTCAATTTGTGCTTTCCAGTTCTTTGATTGAAGTTGTCTGTTTATTGTCTCTATATTCTAACCTGATTGCCACGATGTAGTTGAATGTAAATATATAAAAAGTGCTATCCATAATATATTCAAATAATGTCCTATTTATCAAATATTCAACAACTTTTACATCTCATACAGATTACTTGATAGTATATCAAAGAGATCAATAAATAGTCAAGATATAAAAATAACATCGTTTTCGCAGTAGCTTTCTGAATCTACTTAATTCTTTAGACTGTCAGTATTTTAGGAATTTATATCATACTAAATGTAAGTTAACCAGTTGACTAATAGATTAAAATGTATATTCCATTTTTGTCTCTTAAAAACAAACGATTGCTTCGATGATTAGCATTTAGCTTCTTCCTTATTCATTTATAATTCTTTAAAGTTTTTTGTTCTCCTTTTCTTTAACATAGTGTAGTTGTTTGAATTAATTATTAATGTTATATTGTTTGTTGATCGTTTAGTCGATCATTTGGAATTAGAATATCGTAGTCTCATTCCTTTGTATCATGAGTACTTTATTTTAAAAACTACACTGTAAATATATCACAAAAAATAATTTGAATTACGTTGCTATTACTTTTAGTTTAGTCAATCATGTTAAACTTCAAGCTAATACTTTTCAAGTGATCCTATTAATGTGAATTTCATTTTCAACTTATTTAATTAATTTGAACTATGAAGTAACGTACTTACTTACTTACTTACTTACTTACGCCTGTTACTCCTCGTGAAGGAGCATAGGCCGCTCACCAGCATTCTCCATCCAACCCTGTCCTGGGCAATCCTTTCTAGCTCCGTCCAGTTGTAATTCATCGTTTTCATATCTGCTTCTATTATCCGACGCAATGTGTTCTTTGGCCTTCCTCTTGTTCGCTTCCCTTCAGGATTCCAAGTTAGGGCTTGTCTCGTGATGCAGTTTGAAGATTTGCGTAATGTATGTCCTATCCATTTCCATCGTCTTTTCCTAATTTCTTCTTCAGCTGGAAGTTGGTTTGTTCTCTCCCACAGAAGGCTATTGCTGATGGTATCCGGCCAATGGATGTTGAGTATCTTGCGTAGACAACTATTTATAAATACTTGTACCTTCTTGATGGTTGTTGTTGTAGTTCTCCAAGTTTCAGCTCCATACAGTAGAACTGCCTTGACGTTGGTATTGAAGATTCTCACTTTGATATTGGTTGAAAGTTGTTTTGAGTTCCATATGTTCTTTAACTGTAGGAATGCTGTCCTTGCTTTGCCAATCCTTGCCTTTACTTCTGCATCTGAACCTCCTTGTTCATCGATGATGCTTCCCAGGTATGTGAAGGACTCTACATTTTCCAGAGTTTCACCATCAAGAGTGATTGAGTTGTTGTTTTCCGCTTTGAATTTGAGGACTTTGGTTTTCCCTTTGTGTATGCTGAGGCCTACTGATGCAGAGACTGCTGCTACACTGGCTGTCTTCATCTGTATCTGTTCATGTGTACGTCATAGGAGGGCTAGGTCATCTGCGAAGTCCAAATCGTCTAATTGATTCTGAGCTGTCCATTGAATTCCGTGTTTTCCTTCAGATGTCGAGGTCTTCATAATCCAGTCGACCACCAGAAGAAAGAGGAAGGGAGAGAGTAAACAGCCTTGTCTGACTCCGGTCCTTACTTGGAATGCATCTGTCAGCTGTCCTCCATGCACGACTTTGCACTGTAGTCCGTCGTATGAGTTCCGGATAATGTTGACAATCTTCTCAGGAACTCCGTAGTGTCGAAGAAGTTTCCATAACGTCCTCCTATCCACACTGTCAAATGCTTTTTCATAATCAATGAAATTGATGTATAGTGATGAGTTCCACTCAACTGATTGTTCGACGATGATCCGTAGTGTTGCAATTTGGTCTGTGCATGATCGATCCTTACGGAATCCAGCTTGTTGATCTCGAAGTTGGGCGTCTACTGCATCTTTCATTCGGTTCAGCAACACTCTGTTGAAGACCTTCCCTGGTATTGACAGCAGTGTAATGCCTCTATAGTTTTCACATTTGCTCAGATCTCCTTTCTTTGGAATCTTGACGAGGTGCCCTTCTTTCCAGTCCATCGGCACTTGTTCCTCTTCCCAAATCTTTTTGAATAGAAGATAAAGCATGTTTGTAGTTGCTTCGATGTCTGACTTCAGTGCTTCAGCTGGTATGTTGTCCGGACCCGCTGCTTTCCCGTTCTTGATTTGTCTGACGGCCATTCTGATTTCTTCCTTCGTTGGTGGGTTGACGTCTATGGGAAGATCTGTGTGTGCCGCTTCGATGTCCGGTGGATTCATTGGAGCCGGCCTATTCAGGAGTTCTTCGAAGTATTCTACCCATCTGTTCCGCTGTTGTTGAATTTCGGTGATTGGCTTGCCTTCTTTGTCTTTGACCGGTCTCTCTGGTTTACTGTATTTCCCTGCTAGTTTCTTCGTTGTATCGTAAAGCTGTTTCATATTTCCTTCTCTTGCAGCTTTTTCTGCCGTCGTTGCTAGTTCTTCCACATATTTCTTCTTGTCGGCTCTAATGCTCCTCTTCACTTGTTTGTTTGCTTCTATGTATTCAGCTTGTGCTTGGACTTTCTCTGCTCGTGTTCGGCTGTTGTTTATTGCTGCCTTCTTGTTCTTCCTTTCTTTGATCTTGTCCAGTGTTTCTGTAGAGATCCATTCCTTATGATGGTATTTCTTTAGACCCAGAACCTCTTGACACGTTGAAGTCAATGCTTCCTTGATGCCTTTCCAGTTGTCCTCCATACTAGTTTCTTCTTCTTTCAGTAGATCTTGTAAGGCTTGGAACCTGTTGTTGAGAGCTATCTTGAATTCCGCCTGTAGCTCTTATAGGGTTACTGCCGGTCCCAAGCCCGGGTAAAGGAGGAGGGTTGGGCATGGGGTTAGCGTCCCCATCCCGTAGAAAACTAACTCGCTAAAAAAACGCTAACCAGAAAAAATAATCCAAACCATGAAGTAACGTAAGATGAACAAATTGTTATTGTAATTGCAATATATTTTGTACAAGTGAAATTTAGGTGAAAAACATCGCCTTGTCTGTTGGTAAAATAAAGTATTCAAGATCAACATAAAGAACTGATTCCCTTCTTAATGATTTTGGATAAATTGGTATTTAGAATTGTTATAACTGACGAAGATTAAAGGAATGGTAACTTTTGGGAGTAATTTATGGGCTATATTAATAATTATATATATACATTCCTTTTTATCATGAACTTTTGACTTATCTATTAACTACTGTTGTAAGGTTTACTATTCTTATTCTGTTGCCATTTTACTATTCAGCCTCCTCTACTCACATCCCTTTTTGGGCTTGATCATGTATAATTGTCGTTTTTAATTCATGGTATGGTGTGAGCAGATGTGTTTGTGTACAAATATGTAAACTTGAGATATAACATTCTCATAGTGTAGGCTGATTACTATTTTCTGGATTCAACGGGCAGGTAGAAATAGAAGCTGCCTAATCGAGTATCAATAAGGACTCAACGGCGACTAGGCTACTAGTGCCAGTTAGCGTGTCATTGGTTAGCCCAGCGACAAAGTTATAGAAATCGATATTCTGATTCGTTTAAATCGAATCTAATGCAATGTAAGTGCAATTTACGCCATTTGTTAGTGTGGTTTGGAAAATTACTAAGAAATCGTATATCTAACGCCTTTTTCATTTTATTCCATAACTCATCAGTAGTCTAAATCCTAACATAAAATTATTGTTTGTGAACTTACTGAATGATATACTACAAATTTATTCGGTTCATGATATACCATAATTGTTCTCCAATCTCTTCAAAGGATTCAGTAGGACTAAGTTGTTGTCAGATTAACATTCAGCTGATCAATTTTATCTCTTTATTCTTAAGGGTTTTTTTTTATCACCAGCATGCTGATTAATTTTGTGTATTTCCTAAGAATATGTTTGTAGTTTCCCCGATTATATTTCGACTTGTTAAAGACAAACCTCAGTTGACTTAATAACTACTTATATTAAAAAAACCCTACTTATATAAGTCGATATCATCGAAAAGATTTTATATTCATTTATGTTATGTACTCCTAAAAATAAAATAAAATATTAATCTTAATTAGACTTAAGTAATATTTGGGTTATATTTTATATTTATCTGAATAAGTTACGTCTCCCTGTACTTACGAATCTATTTAAACAATAGTTGACGGTGTAGTATCGGTTATTGTGTTAAGCCCATATACCTTATTCTAGCTTTCGGACAGGCCAATCTATTCATTCTACTTGAGTCACATTTTGACCTTGTTAATTATTCGCTTATCAATCTTGACTGTTTATCTGAGAGCATGTGTGTGCCCTTCCTATTCCATTCATCACATGTCTATAGCTTAATTTTGTGTGATTGTAAATATTGATTAACGCTGGGTTAAAGGGAGTTGGCTAACGAGCCATCTCCACTTCGCGTCATTTCGTTTCACTCTTCTTCTCTACGTCTCTCTATCTGTTCCGATCAACGATTGTACAATATATATGTATCGGGAAATCCGTTCTCGTATTTGACTTATTTATTTGCGTTGTTCATTAGGATAACTATGTGCGAGGATAGGGGACATATATATTTCAATAACATTCATACGACCAAACGAGTCGGATTAAGGGCCACTAACACGGAATTCCATATGTTAATTTTTTCTCCTTATAATGATAATTGATTGATTTGTTTTTTCAAGAATATATTGTATTATTATTGAACTCGGTTGAAAAAAACTGTTCATATCTATTAATAATTTCCCTAATTTTGCCCATGTTTCATTGATAATTATTCAATTACATAAAATGCAATGGAATGATTTATATCTTGTTATTTAGGTATAAGTTAAAGAAAAACAATGAATTCCTATTCAGTATGTGTGAGATTGTACACTGTAATCTTCTTATTGTTTTATATTATTACAAATATCTTAGATTCTTGGGTTAATAATTTACTCAATAGTTATATTTTTGTCATTTATGTGTAATTTTTTTTACAATTCTTATAAATTACTTTAAATAATTAAAAAAATACATAATATTACTAGATGTATTACATATATTTAGACATAGGCTATGTAAGCCAAAATCTATTGTATAAATTAACGGTTTGATTTAGCAGATATAAAACACTAGATTTCAAACTATTGAGTAGCAAGTTTAAGCTCTTTTTATATTTTAAATCATTCTACTAACTAATTAATACAAGTTGTTCTTATTCAGTAAACTAAAAAAGAGACTAGAACATGAGTTTACACATGGTTGTTAAGTTTTTTTTCTCAATTGTTTTTTAACAATATCAAATATTTTTTCCCAAAAACAATATTCACTTGTTGTAACTATTTCTTTGTAAAATAAAAAGACTATTTTATACCGCCGTCTTATTCACTTTTTTGTGTTATGTGTTGTACAATACTTTTTTCCAGTTATTCAAAAGGAGTTGCTTCACCTGAACGATTTGTTCGTAGTCGCTTGTATTTCACTAGTGAAAGTCATATTCATTCATTACTTACTTGTCTAAGATATGGTGAATTAGCAGACATTGTAACAGATGAACAATGGAGACGTGCTATGGAGTATGTGTCGTCTATTTCTGAAATTAATTATCTTGCTCAAATTGTAATTATGATTTATGAAGATCCTACTGTGGTTAGTTTCCGCGGTATATATTGCATTACATTTTTAATATTGTATTTTGTCGTTTTGTTAGTGTTATTAAACCCTGTCGTATTCAACATTTTTTTGGAAGTGTTCATCGATTATGGAATAGTGATGGGTACTTTTCTAAGGCAGTACTATGCTTTTTTACATTATTTTTATTTATTATATAAAGTATATAGTATGGAATGTGCTTAGCTTAACCGATTTCGGCGTTACGTAAGTTGTACATTACAATACCTTTATTAAAATATGAAACAACTATCAGGCTTCATAATGCAGGAGCAATATTCCCTTAAAATCTGCTTATTACGTGCCGATTACGTCCAACTAACTAACTACAAAATATGTCAAAGGTCATGGTTCTTATGCTATTGTATTTATGAGATATTGTTTACCTTTTGCTTGATTTTTATCTCAAGATTTCATTTGTACTAACAATACACTAACCAATCTTAAACCAATTAATAAGCGTAACTATATTGAGTGCTGGAGTTGATGTGTATATAACCAAAAGTGGTTACCACTTTCCAGTTACCCACATTGTAAACAAATGTTTCTTCATGAGGTCCTGAAAAACAACCCGGGAATTCTCAAGTATGAGTTTAGGATTAGGGTGAAGATGAGAAGTATGTTTCTTATGAATTATCTTACACAAAAGCTTATTTACATATAATAATCATTATCTATCGTCTTAACATCGCTTAATAATTCTAAATTATCACCATTTGTTTGTCTAATTCAACCTTTTTAAAATGTAATTTGTTTTTATAAAATTTTGTCACATGTTTTTCAGATATATTATAATAAGCATCGTCCCTCATTTAAACACTATGATTATTTAGATTAAGTGAAATGAATACTGTGTACTTCCTTATTAAATAACGCTTCTTCGAATCTTGTCTATGTCAAGCATTTATTTCTAATCAAATAAACAGTTTAATATTAAACTGTACATAAAATTTTATTTTTACATTAATCATTAATTGGGTCTGGACATCATGCAGAAAATTTATCAATAGTAAATATTAAGAAATCCGTTAAAACAAACATTTTATTCATTGAAAACGCGAAATGTTTTCCTAATTTCCTTTCCAACTGAAAGTTGATTTGTCTTCTCCCACAGCCTGTTGCTGATAGTATCCGACCAACGGACATTGAGTATCTTTCGTAGACAGTTGTTTATAAATACCTGTACTTTTTGATGATGGTTGTAGTAGTTCTCGAAGTTTTAGCTCCGTACAGTAGAACTGTTTTGACGTTCGCATTGAAGATTTTGTCGTTGATATTGGTTGACAGTTGTTTTGAGTTCCATACGTTTTTCAGTTGTGGGAATGTTGCCATTGCTTTGTCGTCCCTCTCTTTTACGTTTGCATCAGATCCTCCTTGTTGATTGATGATGCTGTTCAGGTACATCAGAGTCTCCACATGTTCCGGAGATTCTCGTTCAAGTGTGATTGGGTTGGTGTTTTCTGTGTTGTATTTGAGGATCTTGTTTTTCCTTTGTGTATGTTCGAGGTCTACTGATGCAGAGGCTTTTGCCACACTAGTTGTCTTGACTTGTATTTTTCCGTGTATATGGGATAGAATGACCAGGTCATCTGCGAAGTCCGAATCTTCTAATTGATTCTTAGCTGTCTATTGTATTTCGTGCATTCCCTCAGATGTCCAGGTCCACCAGAAGAGAGGATTAAGCAACCGTGTCTGAATCTGGTCCTTATTTAGAATGCACCTGTCAGCACTGTAGTCCTTCATCAGTCAGTCAGCTACAACGTGGGACCAGGATCAGTCCGTCGTATGAATTCCGGATTATGTTGGCGATTTTCTCAGGTACCCTATAGTGTCGAAGAAGTTTCCATGATGTTCTCCTATCCACACTGTCAGACGCCTTCTCATATTCAATGAAGTCGAGGTATAGTGACGAGTTCTACACAACTAATTATTCAACAATGATCCGTAACGTTGCGATTTGGTCTGTGCACTACTGATACTTTCAGAATCCAGCCTGGTGATCTCGATATTGGCTGTCTACTGAATCTTTCATCTGGTTCAGCAACACTGTTGAAAACGTTTCCTGGTACTGACAGTAGTGTGATACCTCTGTAGTTTCCACATTCGCTCAGATATCCTTTCTTTAGAATCTTGATGAGCTATCCTTCTTTCCAGTCCATCGGCACATGTTCTTCCTCCCAAATCTTCCTGAATAGAAAGTGCAGCATGTTTGCAGTTGCTTCTGTGTTTGATTTCAAGGCTTCATTTGGTATATTGTCAAATTCAGGTGCTTTCTCATTCTTGATTTGTCTGATGGCACTCCGGATTTCTGTCTGTGTGTGCTGCTTCGACGTCCAGTGGATTTAACGAGGCTCGCCCATTCAAGAGTTCCTCCAAGTTTTCCACCATCTGTACATCTGTTCTTAAATCTCAGTGATTGACCTGCATTCTTTGTCTTTGACCGGTCTCTCTGGTTCACTATATCTCCCTTCTAGTTTCTTCGTTGTATCATAAAGCTGTTTCATATTTCTTTCCCTTGCAGCTTTTTCCGCCGTCGTTGCTAGTTCTTCCATGTATTTCTGCTTTTCGGCTCTAATGCTCTTCTTCATTTGCTTGACTGCTTCTATGTAACCAGCTTGTGTTTGGAATTTCTCTGCTCGTGTTCGTCTGTTCTTAATTGCTGTCTTCTTGTTGTTCCTTTCTTTGATCTTGTCCAGTGTTTCTATAGAGATTCATTCTTTATGATGATGATTGCTGAGGCTCAGAACCTCTTGACACGTTGAAGTCAATGCTTCTTTGATACCTTTCCAGTTGTCCTCCGTAGTAGTTTCTTCTACCTTCAGTAGATCCTGTAAGGCTTGGAACCTTTTGTTGAGAGCTATCTTGAATTCATTGAGTTTGTTAGTATCTCGAAGGAAGGCTGTATTGAAGCTTTGTAGAGCTGTTCGTCCAGTTTTCTAGTTCTTCTTTAGCTTCAGTTTTAAATTAGCCACAACAAGGTGATCAGTAAGTTGAAGCTATGTCAGCTCCTCTCCTAGTTCTCACATCTTCCATTGTCCTTCGGAATTATTTATGGTTACAAATATGATCTATCTGGTTCTCTGTAGTGTTATTCGGTGAGATCCATGTAGCTTTATGTATACGTTTGTGTGGAAATATTGTGCTGCCTATTAGCAATTTGTTGAATGCACATAAATTTGCAAATCTTCCCCCATTTTCGTTTCTCTCTCCCATTCCATGTCGTCTCATGATATCTTCATATCCGGTGTTGTCTATTCCGACTTTGGCGTTTAGATCTCCCATCAGAATGGTGAAGTTTTTTCTTGGCCACTTCGCTATGATTGATCGCAACCTATTGTAGAACTGATCTTTAATGTCATCGTTGCTATCATTGGTGGGTGCATAACACTGTATAACATTCATTGTAATTCCCTTCTTCGTTTTTAAAGAAGCTCTTGGGTTCATAAGATTCCCACCCAATAAGTGCATTGCGTGCTTGTTTAAACAATAACAGATCAAGCCCGTGAGTGTGTGGAGCATTTTCCTTTTTCGTGATCAGTGTACAGCAGCATATCTCAAGTTTCTAGCCTTTGTTGTCCAGTTCGGGTCTAATGGGTTTCGCTGATTCCCATTACTGCCAAGTTGTATCCCCTCATTTTCGTTGCTGTTTGGCTGATTTTCCTGGTCTTCCACATTGTCCGAAAGTTCAATGTACCTGTGAAAATTATTGCTCTGGTTTTTTGAAGGGTCATTGGCCTCATGACTTCCGAAGAATTTTGGCTTTCTTCCTGAGGCGCCATATTTCCTCCTTCAATCCCCAGGGTAGAGTTTAAATGGTATATTTTGTTTATTCTGGTTATCGTTTTTTTAACAAAATTTTTTTCTACATGGTGGATTTGCCGACCCATATCCAACCCTCCTCGTTTACCAGGGCTTGGGACCGGCAGTATCTTTAGGAGAGCTACAGGCGGAGTTATAATCTAAACATGATTGACAATTGTTATGGTCATTTTCATCAAATATCAATGTTTAAATTCATAACTGTGAAACGTTTCCATAGATGATGAACTATAGACCAATGGGAATTATACTTGACGTAATATTCGTGTTATTTTGTTTCATCGATATGTTGGTTAGCAAAAATAACTCGCATGTTATATCCCTCAGTACGACGTTAAGCTGTATCATTTGGAGTCTTCGTATACTATGGAAAAACTTTATCACTTAAATTGCCAGCGGTAAAGTGTTTATCTTCATTCCGACATTTAATGATACCATTTGAACAGTCGTAAATGCTTCGTTCATGTTTCATTTGTTTTTCTTTTTAAAAAACACATATAAATCTGTCAAATCGGTGGCAGTTTTTACATCAATCTTCTGTGTTTTCGGACATTTGCATTAACAATGAACACTTTTTTTATAAATTATTTCAAACCGCAGGAACCGAAAACTGAAAAACGATTCCATGTTGAATTACACTTTAGTCCTGGTGCTTTTGCATTATGTCATGATCTCCCTGAAGGGAGTGGTTTTCGATCGGGAAAATTGGTGGTAGGTTTTTATTATTTACTTCACATATGATTTATCGCTAGATTTTGTGAAAGAAAAAAACGTTTTTCTTTGCATTTTATAACAGATTTTCTTAAATAATGCACAAAAAATATTGCTAGCTACCTGTGCACAGAGTGTACGTCTTATGAAAACCTTATAAAGGATCAAGTCTGGCATAAGTTATTGCTGAAAATATTCTCAGTTTAAGATTACTATGTGAAGACATTTTAGTGACACTGAGGCTTTTTAGTTTAGGTAGCTGTTTCTTGTTCTCAAATGAGTGACTGATATAAAATAATGTGTAGATTTGAGGTCATGTATCTAATTTCGATAAAGTCATCCCTTGGAAACTGTTGGCTGTTTGTAGTTGCCTATTATTTTATACTAAGCAGTTGAGGGATTTCAGTTTAGGATCCTGCTTCGGTCTGGGTACCCGGGCATTATCACAGCTCACACACAAATCAAGTGACTTGTGTGGCGCATATGTATTCGGTTCACCTTTTTAGCAATATTTATGTGTTCAAATAATAATGTATAACAAATAATTCAGTTTGGAATAACCATATGATATCCCAGTATCTGAATATCTTTCAACAAAAGTTATGTTCTATGATTGATGCATCTTTAGTATGCTCCATTATATTAGTCCACAGTTCGTCATCATAAATAAAATTCAACACCTTTCAATACATTCAGTATGAATTTATTCATTACAATAGTAAGTTGTCGATCATTTTTTGTTTGATGAGTATTATACATAATTTTTTGTTAAAGATGATAAGTCCAGGGTTTGAGATTAACAACTAACACATCCCCTGTGAGAGAAAACGTTTTTGTCTCATTATGACACTAACCCGCTCCGACGAAATGATTTTATCCACCAATTCCTGATATCGAAATATCCTCGACTTATTGTTAGATTATTTATCTAAAATCGGTGATGATTAGGATTTGGTGAATGGGAAATTTCATAGTGAAAACACTAATCACCATAATATATTTCTTAGGAAAAGGTAATTGTTATATATTAAACTCTTGTTATATTAATGTTTCATCATCCGTATCTTGATAAGTGGTATTTCCTAGCTTTCTCACCTATTCTGCATAACAAAACGTTATCATCATATTTTGTTTGCTGAGGCCGTTGTTTTTTCATGCATTTATTAAGTAGTCTAATTCTCATTATAACTTCAACTATATGCTGAACTGTGTATACCCTAGTTTGTAAAAAATGAAGTTTGTTTCTTGTATAGTTTCACTTTGTTTTAGAAGTTATGCATTTGTTATTGCTTACCATATTAAACAAATAAATATTGTATATCACAGTCAGTTTTTATTGTCTCATAAAACTATCCCCATTTTTTCATCTCATCCTGATTTTATTTCCTTCCTCATCACTATCATATGGACACTGACGGGTTTTACGTACGTTCATAAATTTACAACCTAAAAATGGGTAATTTTTGCTCAAAAATGTTTTAATATGAAATTCGGCATTGTGTTTTGCTTCCTTTATTTCTCTGATTCATATCATATATATGTCTGCGTAAACATTTTGTATAATTGTTTAATTTTTGACTTTTGTTTGTGTGCACGGGTTTATGCATGTGTACTCATCTGTGTTGCTCTTCACGCTTACTTTGTGTATCACTGTTTTATTATTTCGCTTTACTGCTTGCTATGTTTCATTCTTGCATCTTTGTATGTATGTATTCGTATGATGAACATCTTTCATGTACTACATACTAATAAATGAATAGCGTCTGAATTCTCAAATGAGTGTAATGAGTAGCGGTACATCTGTGGATAAAGGAAGTTCTGACTCAATGCCACAATCAGCAATCCCTTCTGTTACACCTATTGTTCCTGCTAGTGAACAAGACAGGAAAGATCTGTTTGATAAATGTAGTGGTAGACAAACAGATCGAAGTAGTGAATATCACCAGAATCTTGGGTCGTTTGACTCAAGTGAATGTTCATTCTCAGGATCTTCCGTTAACGACAAAGCTTCAGGTAAATCTACAGCAATGGTATCAAAAAAACTTGATTCTTTAGATTTGTTTCGTTGGAGTTTTGATAGTGATAGGAATACGTATGAAATATGTAAGAATCAAACAGAGACTTTTAATGATTCATCTCTTACCGAGCAATGTCCGGTTCGCAGGTCACATAGTGTTCGTTGTAACCTCGCTTCAAATGTTTCTCGAGAAAACACTGTTAATCACGAAGAAACTTTGATTGTCAACCACAGATCGCAATCTCAAGGTCGTCCTTCTGTTTTGCCATTATCACCTGTACCATCAACCTCTACGCTAGAATTAATTGGGACTCCTACAGCGTCAAATACAGAAGTTGGTATTGGACGATTTACTGTCACGCGGTTCACTGATAATAAAAGTGGTTTAAATTCAACTTTTCCAAATGAATCGAAAACTGATAATTTATTGTCGACATTACCGTATACAAATAAACTAAAAACATATCGCCTCAAACACTTTTCACGTTCGAGTTTCTACCAAAATTCTGCCCGTAATAGGTCTAGTTCATGTCATCCTGATGTTTACAGAAGGACAAATTTAGCTACAACCCTATCATCAAAACCTAGATATTCATGTATTTCAAAACTACTTCAAACGACAGGTAAGCTTACTGATTTTGGCGAGTTTAAGAAATATGATTATAATGAACAACTGTCTTTTGAATGTTCCTGTTCAAATACTAATTCGTCACGTTTCGCTCCTGTAATTCAATGGCTTTCAAAGCAGTCAGAACACTTAGTGAAATCAGATGAAAAATGTGACAATGGGGATCACAAATCAAGTCCAATCAACATCGAAGACAAGGTAAGAAATAAATGATATTTACTGGTTTATATCTGGAGATAAGTTATTAGTTCGTTTTATATGAAATTATTTTAATATGATATTTTTTGAACAGTTTAAACATCCTGAAAATCTTGACTTACATACGTAGTTTAAATCGTACTATTCAAAGCTGGATATAGTATGATTGAAATTATTTGTAAAAGTTTATTCTCAGTGTCATAGTGAGCTACTTATTTTCAAACATGATTATTACAAGATTATCATCAATGAAAAAGTTTTATCCTAATAAACTTAAATGTCAAATGATTAGAAATATTGTCGCGTCAACAAAAGTGTCATGAATAATTTATGACGACTAACTTTTTGATGCAAATATTTTACAAGCAGATATTTCACTTAATTGTAAATTTTCTGATATAATGATAAATAGTTTTTTTCTGGGAATAAAATTTATCGTCCTATTGTGAACTCCTCAGCATTTCGTATCCACGACTGCTGAGGAGTCCCACTGTAGGACGAAACGGCCATCCAGTGCTTCCAGGTTTTCCATGGTGATCTAGCTTCAACTAACTCATGATCTTAACCATTGAAATTACTACAATCTCCACAAAACCCATCTGATATTTAATAAAATTTATATCAATATTCGTTTGATATGTGATTCATACATTATAATATACTTGTCTTATTAAAATTCCACTAATGATTCCACTTTTCATTCTCTCACTTTCAGTTTATATCTACTTATATTTTAATATTGAAACCTTGAATTTATATATCGGACTATTTTATACTTTTGTCTCCTCGTCCGTCGTAATCAAAGTATCTATTTGTGCTTGGTGGCAAAATTTCATACATCCATTCGATAAGTTGTTTAGTTATGTTTCATGACTAGGGTGGCATGTATTTTTACAGTAGTGACTATTATTTTGTTGTCAACTTAATTTTTTGAGAGTAATCGAAAGTTTATTCTCCAACTATTAATCCATTTTGTATGATGTTTTTATTATATAATTTTAATTTGATTATTATTATCATTATTGTTGCCCACGTGTCTTCTGGTTGTAGAGAGTTCGAGAAACACCGAAATGGCTAACTTTGGGGGCTCGTAAATGTGAGTATACGTTCTTTTAAGTATCGTCATGAGGTTGTTCTTGACAACTTCACCATCACAGTAGTTTATTGCATGAGAGCTTTTTTTCTTTTATTAATTTACTTGCTTTTGCTTCTTGCATCTGCCATTACTTGTTAAGAAAAATTGTTAGCTCTGTAAGAAATTCTCTGTGTGCATTATGCTAAATTTATATTCGAAAATAAGATTAAGACAATACGTTCTTTAATTGACTTGAAAACGTTTAATTTTATTTTCACCATTATTAAAATATCTTTCATCAGTAAACATTTAAAATGCCCATCAGTGGTGAAATTCTGTTCTTCTTCTCTTAATAATCAGTTTCCTTAGCCTTTCCTCAGTGTAGTTAACACATATGTGCTTCTCGAATACATTAACACTGTTATATATATCACCATTTTTATAATGAGTAGAATCGTCGGCATTTAGCTGTTGGAAATGGTTTTATTGTTCTTTTGATCAAGGAATTTTAGTATCTACTAATTACCATTTTAACCGTATTGATGCAATACTAATTATTATTGAATCCGTTTAAATAACAAACTGTTAGAAACATTTTCTTAAAATCTAAAAGTGCAAACCAATGTTTTACTTTTAATGCCTTGGAGTTTTGCAGTTCACGAGTCTTAGTTAGGCGTCTGAGGCTAGTATTTTAGATACTATATTAGTTAAACTAATCCCTCTATGGTTGTCACAGGATGATTTTAACCCTCTCTTATATATTGGGACGATAAGTGATTGTGACCAATCAGATGGGATAACGTCTAACTCCCAGATCTTAGCTAAAATATTAGTCAACCTAATCGCTAAAATTGGACCACCATCCTTAAAGACCTCTGGAGCCAATCCATCTGGACCAGCAGCCCTTCCTCGTTTCAGATTAACTATAACCTTTTGAACTTCTGCTAGAGTTGGGGGACCCACTTCAATGTTCTATTCACAATGTCTGGGAATAGAGGGTGGTTGTAGAGTAGCTGAAGGCCAGCTGAACTGTTCTCTGAAATGTTCATCCCATCGTTCTAAACGTCTGGACTGAGAGCAGATGAGAGTGTCGTCTTTTTCCGAAATAGTCTGACTTACACTTGACTTATTAATTCCAGTTTCTTTTATTAGTCTGTAAAGCTGTCTTGTGTTCCCTATAGTTGCCGCCTTTTCCATCTTTTCTGCTTTTGTTGTCCACTACTGCTCACGGTCGTTCCTTGGACTTTTGCTTAACCTAGATCTGATTTGCTTTCGCTCATCATCGTGTTCAGAATTTGATGGGATGAGTTTACGATAACCCATCAGTGCAATAGACTTAGAAGAAATCCATTGGTTTCTTGTAACCCTTTGGTTTAAATCACTAATAGATGTCGCTGCTGTTTCTACAGCTGTTTGTATATCTTTCCAAGCAACATCTGGGCCAGCCTCGTTTTCAGAACTGCTCAGTGTGACCTCAGTTGTTGCTGGAATAGTCTTTTGGCTTTCTCATTGCTCAATTCAATGCTAATAGCTCTTTTAGTGTGGTTTTTCTGCATCCAGTGAGGCGCAAGCAAATGCGTAGCCGTATTAGAGCATGGTCGGAGTCCAAGCAGGTATTCCAGAACGAGCGACAATCTTCTGTCGAGCTTATCCAAGGATGACTGATGGCAACGTTGTTATGACCTTGAGTATGTCTGGTTTTACTATCACGCGACCTATCTACCAATCCGGATACGACTTATACGAATCTTCACACTAGGCCAACCAATGACGTTCAACCGGTATGGGCAGTCTAGCGTCCTTATTGGTCCTATGTCCTACGAGCCCTTCCACTTGAGTCCAGAACACAATACCAGCTTCGAATCAGAGCAGATCGTTTATTTCAAACATACTCGGTTTATATATCAAACAGACAGACCACAACACACCATAAATTAGAAAATAACATATGTACACAAATAAGCCAAAAAGTGGCTGTGAACGAGGGGGACAGTAATTAATAGACTGAACATAGTTTAAGAACCGTAAATCGTACAATAATAAATTATAGATCAAAATAAAGCTTATAATAAGAGGGATATAAATATACATAATCCAATGATTGAATAGTTTTACAATAAGAATATTTATAGAATATTAGTCCACTAATAGTCCTCGGGAGTTACCTGTAATTTAATCTTCGCTCGGATATAACAAACGTGGTCTATTTGAGTGCATCATTGGTTTGGTGCAGGGAATCGCCATGTTAGACGATGTCTCCCTTTATGCTTAAAATTAGTTTGCTAAAAATAAACGATTGTGTGAGAACAGTTGCAGCAGACGATCATCATTATCTACTATGTCTGAGCGTTTAGCTTTTTGAAGAAGTTTAGAAAGCTTTCTGTAAAAGTCATCTTTCAATTGATCCGTGCTGCAGTCAGTGGGAATGTAGGCAGAAACGACGAAAAGGCAACGACGTGTGTCCCCATCTTTTTGAGTTCTTATGGAGCCGTTTATCCGAACAGCATATAGTCGACTGTTAACGGAGATCCATTCTAATAGTGTTTGTTCTGAGCTTGTACTTAGTGCTATGCCTATACCTGTCAGTCCACGAGAACTAGCTATCGGGTCGTCAAATACACGGAGAGCGTATCTCGTCGGCTCTCCGCTTTGCCGAGGTGAGGTTAAGTGAATGACCACACTAGGATCCTGTATGCGTGTTTGGGAGACACCGCACACATCAATGATACGAGATTCTAGGGTTTTAGTTAGGAGGCCTGCTGGCCGACTTGACACAGGGTGCGTGCGTTGAAGACTTCAATGCATAGTTTAGAGCGAAGTTTCAGTTGACCTAGGATAGTATTTTACGCACTAGGATCGTTGTTCATGGTGACACTTGAGGAGGGAGTTTAGAGTTGAAAGTCGAGGTAGTAGGAATAATAGGAATTGAAGAGGGAGATTGATTATGAATACAGTGATTTTGAGTGTTGTTAGAGGTATGAGGTCACTTGTCACATCCTAGTTGCGCACACCGTGGAAGGATTTTTCTGGAGATTCCTGTAAAGGAAATTAGATTAGACGTAGTCTTAGTGACCTGAGAGCGTGACCTCAGTTTCCAAGGGACAACTGCTTGGAGTCGGTCACTTACGACCTTTTTCGAGTAATTTTCATGTCAGCTTGGTACTTGTTGGGACTTTACCGACGCTGTGGAACAATTGTCCCGGCCAGTATAGCCCGATTGGTTCACCACGATAGGCAAGCCCGACCATCACGTCAAGGTAGCAGAAACGTTATCTGTCACTGAAAAGCGTAGACAAGAAATAAATCAACTTATTGTGTGTTCCATTCGAGCACTAATGGGTCGAGTTAGAGCTTATGACGATCTGAATTCAAACGTGTCAACCTCAAGTAGTGTTCCTCAAGGCTGTCTATTTACCTTATTTCTGTCGTAGACCATCTTTTAGAGATAGCTTTCTCTTCGTTTACCTTCTCAGGAATTGATCTCCCACCAAGATATTCACTTGTTAACCTTAGTTAACGACACTAACAATGTACAGACTCTTCTGATTGACTTAAGAGATGATCAAGAATATTTCAGATGCGATTTTCTCCCTCTTCATGAAAAATCTTGCTTCGTATCTACTCAGTTTTATTAACTTAGGCATTGTATTTTCATTTACTACAATAGTTTGTACACGTAGTACCTATGCCCAACCGCCATCTACCTTGTTGGTTGTTATATAGTACAGGAATAATCAGGAAGAAAGCTAAGTGTGGCCATACCAAACCGTGGCACCAGTCCATGAAATCATTGACAGATGGGTTAAACCATGTGGGTAAGTACAAGCTACCTAGTTGGGGTGCACATGAATATCGTAAGTAGTGGATGGAGACATTGGATAATATGGTGATGTGTCTTGTCGTTTGAATGCTTACTTGTTATATCTGGTCGTCGCTGATTGTTATGTCGGAAACGCCTATCACTTATACTCAGAATGAGGGCCTTCGCAATTCCAACGACGTGAAAGTAAGAACACAAAAACTGGTATAATTGGAGATTTATTAATTCCAAAACACGACGACGACCCTAGTCGAAAATAAACTCATTTATATATTAATCATACACCCATTTTGATTAATAATTAAGGTTAAATCACATACTCAGTTATAACAAATCACTTACTGAGCATAGTTCATGTCAAGTGAATACATGAATATCGTTTATTATACAGAAGAAAATATTATACTGGGAAAACAATCAAATACTACACTGAATGATCATTAAATTGAATCATAACGGAAGTAATGTTGAACAAAACTTATAATTAGTAAATCAATTGAATTTTGACTTGCTTCTCGTCATATCAAAATTAAACTTAATAGTTCAGGTACAGTCACTCTCTTTCCTCAAATCCTGATTCCGAAATCTAATATATTTTTCTTTTTTCCCTAGTCTCTTCTACTATTAATCCTTCTTCTTCTAACCTAGGATTTAGTTTTTGATAATTTCATTTCACTGTGCTAATGCAGTATAACAAATTGGATTGATACTTATATGTGCCGAATTCTGCATTACGTATGACTTTTTTTCAAAAGGAATGATAAACATTAGTCCTAAATCTTGATGTTTTATGAATATCACATAGCTAAACTTCGTCAATTGTGGATTGACCCATAACAACAAAAACAACATCTAGGCGTTGACCTTTATTCTTTATTTATGACAATTTTTTTAGCGGAACACTGTGCACTAAAAAATAAGTATGGTAGCGTGTAATTTTATTGTTTACTACTTTTTTGTCTATTCTGACATTTCATTCTACCTCTGTTTAAATAGTTTGTAATCAATTTGTTTTCGTTATTGGTATACGATTCAGCTGTTTCAAATAATGCTACTAGAATAAATCAACATAATAGCACAGGCTCTGTCCATTCATCAAAAAATCAAGATTTAACTTCCACATCTACTCGAGCTCGTTTAACTCCACTTCCTTCTGATGAACCGGTGTCGTCCAACGAA